TTTACTGATCGTCTTACTACTGTACAACGTTCGCCGGTTTCTGGCCAAGATTACATAACTTTCGTTTTTTAGGCAGAAAAATGTAAGGCAAGAATGTAGCAATAGTGGTTCAATAAGAGGTAAAGTACTGACTTATGTCTGTAACATAAAAATAGAAATTTATGAAATAATGCAAAATTCAATCTCAGGAACTCATTCAGAACTACAACTGTAATTAGCGATATGATATGTTTACAAAATATATATTTTTATTACTGCAGAAACAATGATTCAGTTTGTGATGATGATGACAAATGTAATATATTTTCTTTGAGGAAAAGTTTATTTCCAAGGCTATGAAGCATTATTTTAGGGGCTTTATTTCAGATAAAATGAATTTTCTTTTTGTATGTATTGCGTTATTGTGAAATTTTACGTTCCTAGAGGATATTTATTTCTTTTTGACAGGTATCTAAAAAGAGAGAGAATGGATCAGCAAAAGAAGACCGTGATTGAGCAGTTTCGGAACCAATGAATCTTCATTTTAGTGCCTGTCAAGAGTAATCAATGATGGAGCGACCAGTAAAATGAAAGTTTGTAGAAGAAAAAGAGAGATCGTTTTGTAAGTTTCTTCAACTTGTAACATTCACGTTCTAAGAGAACGAGAGTCATATTCAAGATTTTTTTCGATGAGCTTTGAAGCATGCATTCAATATGATTAAAAAAAATTAAAACTTGTTTTTTCCTAAAATTCAGAGTTTATTTATTGAAGCTTCAGAAGGAATGAAAATAAGTGTTTTTCACTAAAAGGTAGTGTTTTTTGTATCATAATCTACGCTATTATTTTCTTTTATATAAAGAGGTATGATTGATTGATTGATTGTTTCTTTGGTTGCTTGCTTTATTCAGATCTAAAGTTTTATTCCCTCTTACTGAACTGTCGCGAGTAAAATAAATTCGTTGTCATAACGGATGGTCATGTGTCACCAAGATTACAAATACAATATTGTTTCCTTCCTCGAGAATGCTAATGAAAATTTTAGAGTTAGAATGAAAATCTGAACCACTTTAATGATTGGGTATTCTTAATGTTTCTTGTGTTTTTGTCCCTTACCGTACCGGAATAAATGTATATTATGCATGCCTTTTTTAGTAAAAATAAATGCCTTTTTGTCTGTCTATTTTAGGTAAAATAAATGCCTGAACTGCGGGGCTCTAGTTACAAGTAATATCTGTCCTGCCGTAAACGTGAAACATAATACGTGAAAAACGTCAGGTGCGTCAAAACCAATGTTAAATTTACATTTTGTCTAATAAAAAAAATATATTTCAGGAACAGATTGGTAGACAGATTTACGTAACAAATACCTTACGAAACCTTGAAATAAAATTTGTTCACGCTTAAGTATTTCAAAACAATCAATACTTCAAATTAAGATTATTTTTTCAAAAGAGATGTCTTTGACATTTACCATATTTGCCATATAGAAAATATTTTCACGTGTTAAAGTCTAAGTAAGTGAACTTCATGTATACGAATGGACGTTTAACATACCCCCTTCCCTCAGAGCAAAATCAAATAAAACTAGAGCCAAAATTCTTCACTATTTGATTTCTTAATTAAGGAATTATTTATTTTTTGATTAATAAAGGAGGAGGAAAAGGGCCGGGTTGATGAACTTGTTTAACACTTAATAAAATCGAACTATCTTTATGATGTTTATTATTTCATACCGCCCTTATATATTGGGACTTGTCAAAAAAACCATGGTATTTTAGACAGGAAATACGCATTGAACGAATAATTACTATAAAATTGGATGCATACAAAACATTCGTTAACCAAAATCGTGCTTGAGGGCAGAACGCGAAATTCTTGTGCGAAGCATGGCCCGGGGTAATAATTTTGAATAAATGAGAAGACCGCATTGGAAATAGACTTTACAGGGTAACAATTTTAATGTTAAAGAACTTATATTAATTGCGCGAATTTTATTCCTTATGTAAATTACAATTCAAGTCTGTTCTGTCATGTGTTGTAATTTATGAGATATAAATAAAATGAAATAGACTCCGTACGTGAGGTATTACAGTAGATTAGAACCGTAGCTGGGCATGATTAATTAATTTCTTTAAGTTAAACAAAAAGATGGTCACGAATAGGCGCTTCACCCGGAACACAAGAAGAGCAAGTCGCGTTCGCGAATCATATTTCTTCAATAAATTAGATAATATTATTATTAAATAATTAGAACATTCTGGAAATATTAGGCACTTTATCCGCTGGTAGAATTTGCTGCCATCGAGAAGAGTGCGACGAGAACATCGTCCGGGCGATATCCAGGAAGGAGGCATCGTGAAGATCATCACCGAATATACCTCCGTAAGCTTACTAACGTTTTTCAGAAAGAAATACTGTACGGAACTGTTGATGTATAGAGGAAACAGAAGTAAGACAGTTAATGAGCTCACGTTTAAACATTGTGATTTCATTGGATTAAATATTGAATTTTTATTGTCACAACCAAGAAAAAGGCTGATAATTTTTAATGGTAGTACCTTCAATTTTCCAATAACAGGTTTAAGACAGCAGATTGGGATTTGGCTTCCAGCAATCGCAGATCTGTACAGAGTTTCACGTCCACATACAGAGAAAATTAAAAAGGTAATGCATTTATATGACGAACCCATATTTGCACAATCAATGTAAATTGTTGTCAGTTATTACTGAAGAATGACGAGCTAATAAACAGTGCAGGGCAAATTATTATTTTAAAGTAATAAATATAGTGTGATAAATTTAAGAACAGTCTGGCAACGTAAATGATAAAATTAGAAGATGAATAAAAGTGAATAGAAAGTTAATATAGCTTAAAACAAAATAATTAACTAAAAATAAGGTATATCTCAATAGTATATCCATATCTACGATTGCGTGAATGATGAATTTATTTTCAGATGAACACGTTTGTTCTGGAGTGAATGGAATGGGGTCGGATTGGAAGATAGTAGTTTCATGGCCTTCGACAAAGGTTAGAGGTGGAAAAGGAGACGAAACAAACGACCATGCCCGATGTTAGGGCGACGTATCTAATACTAATCAGACAAAACCTCGGAAATCACTAATTAGAATGTTCTTACATACTCGTACTAATTTTCAAAATATTTGAACGTGCAATGTGACTTATATTATGAAATACTTTTGCCCTACTAAACTACAGATTTATCTTTTAGAGTTTCATAGCTTAATTATCAAACGAAGAGAATACTTAATGCATAAAAACATGTAATTCGTAGCAAGTGTGTGGAAATTTACATGCCTTCTTTACAAAATATATAATTATAAGAATCAAATATAGAACGAATCATTTTACCGTAACAAAAAATAAAGTTGCATCATTGAACTTTAATTCCACTATCAAATCAAGAAAGAAAATAATTAGGTCATTTCAATCTTTCATATCAGTACAATTGTAAAGTTATGACATTACTTTATCTTTGACCCCGTCTACGTAGAATAACGGACCCTCATTATGATGAAGATTTCCTAGAATCAAATTATATAGTGTATTACTAACAACTAAGCACTGACATATTGTAGGCACATTACTAAAGCATTTCCAAAGAGACTCAACTATAAAAATCGGCATTATACAGTGGTTTCATTGTATCAATACAAGAGAGCATTACTTTTACAGATTTGCATCAAGGGCTATTAAGGACTCCACTCGCGTAAAAAGAGAGGTCATTAGTCCCA